TGACAGCAGTCTGAAGGCACAGGTACTTGTTGGAGCCACCACACACCTAATCTAGGAGGATCTTTTTCTGCAATACCTTTGGCATTAGTTTAAGCTGCCTGTATCTTTTCACTCCTGCCTTGGAGCCACTTTGTTATTCCAGTGCTGGACTTCCCACACAATTCTGCCAGGTTCACTTATATCCTGCTGTCCTTTCACTAGTCTGTTCTTACTCTCCTCCCACACCTTGCTCCACCAGGCTACTATCTCCATCTGCACTCCACAAACTGTCAATACTCCCGTTTTACCTCCCTCCTGTTCTCCCAGCCCAAGCCAGTCCTAGTCAGAAGGGTCCTGCTTTTTCAGACTCTAATTTTTACCTCCAATTGCAAAGGATAGAGGAAGAGGGACTGCTGTTTCTTCACCTCTGAAATATTGTTGTAGGTAGAGGGCTCCTTTCCTCCAAGTTCTCCTATGACCTGATGCTTTCTTGGCATTTTTTGCACTCTGTAGATAAGAGGCAGTTCAGTGACTGTAGATTGCAGTGCCTTTTCTCAGCACTCCAGGTTACTTTTTCACCCCTACTTGTACACTTGAAAACTTTTCTGTAACCACCTGAAGCCCATGACTGTATATTACCCTGTGTGTTTTTTCCATCCTGTGTTTCCCTATTGATTTCCACTTCTCAGTGGCCATTTTTGGCTCTTGGCTGTTGGCTCCAGTTGCGCTGAATACGTTAGTGCACAATGTATGTTTGTCCATCATTCTAAGGGCTGTGTGAAAGCCAGGATGCACAGGTGTATATTTTGCTGTATTTCTTTCTTGATTGCCTGTATACACTATACTTGCCAGAGTGGCTGTACTTTGGGCCTGTAAGGTGTCACATTTGGTGTGTGCATGTCTCTTCCATCTTCTTTCCTTTCTGCACTGTTTTCCAAACGCTGTCTGTATGGGGAGTTGAACTATACATGTCCAGTGTATATCACTCTCTCCATTACAACCCTTCCACTGATACGTGCTTCAGGTGAACACTGTCAGACTGGTATGTTTTGCATATTTGCTGCCATACAAGGGTCAGTATAGGAAATGCCTGTTTTTTAACAGTGTTATCACGGGAATATGCAAATTCAGTGTTGCGTGGGGTACAACAGAAGATACGGAGTGGGCTTTGACATAGTAATGTTCATGATGTGGCCAGTGCAGCATATGAAGATGTATGTGCATTTAATGTGGTGTGATAAGTGGTGGAAAAGGTGCCTGTGTGTGTACAAGGGTGTGTAGGGTGAGCATGGTGTGGTATTTCCAGCACGTGCAGGAACACCTACACCTCTGCGTGTGTGGTCAAAGTAGTGCATTCACAGGTGTGTGTTGTGGGAAAGATATGCAATGACTTTGCCCATTTCATGTGAGGCATTTTCAGTCCTGCTCACTGTATGTTTGGCAGCGAAGTGTCTTCAAAACCCAGATAATGGAGGCAGGTGTTGCTGCTGCACGAGAGCACATCTCAGCTTTCTGTTACCACCTATGAGAGAGAAGGCGGCTGGGCAGGCATCAAAGGGTAAGGAAAGCTTTCTGTTCCTGCTAATCTTGCTGCACTCTGAGGGGAAAAAAGTGCAGGTGCTACTGGAGGAATAATAGGATACTGGAAAAGAGGAGAGGCAGAGCCAGTCTCAGCTACAAGCTGAAGGTAAAGGGTTTACTTTGAGGAAGAATCGTCTATGTTTGGGCAAGGACATACACCATCAACTCCTGATCTCCCTGATGTTAGGAGGCACTCTCAAGTTCCCAAGGCAGTTGCCACCTGTGCTTCTAGAGATCTCCATCAGTCCTTTGGGAGCTGCATCCACAGTGCTGAGCACTGGCAGAAGAGATCGTGTCTGGGAGAGCAAAGCCAGATTTCCAGCAGGAAGGAAACAGGCTGCAGATCTGGTGGCAGGTGTGAAACTTGCCAGGTACACATTGCATGTGCTAGGAACACTGAATGGGGATGCTTTTACCCCAATATACAGCAAAAACTTACATCCCCGGCAAACACTAGGGAATTACATTCACTGCCCTAAAGGCATGCTGCTGCCTGAAAGGCTATTCCAAAGGGGTCAAGAAGCAAGCTAGCAAAGCCAAGGAGGAACACTGACTGAAAAGTTGTATGAATTGGCTCAAGGATGGTAAGGTACACCAAGGGCTAGGAGAAGGTACTGCTAAAGGTAACAGGGACTGCTACCTCCTGAAAGCTCTCTAGGTTCCTGAGTGGTGTGTGGACACTGCAGGAGGCTGCTCAGATGATCAGGGAGGATTGTGGCAAAAAGCCAAAACAGGGTCCTGAGCTCTGACAAAGGCTCCTCTAAATTGTGGGAGGAAAAAAAATTGGACAAGAGATGAATCAGATCAGTTTTTCCTTCATCTAATAATCCAGTACATTCAATCTTAATGCAGTTCTAGCAATGCCCTCACTTGAAAATTAGGATCTTGAGGTTTTCCTGCTGCTTCCACATATCACTATTTATAGCATTTATTTATTATCAATCTTTTAACTCCCAGAGAAAAATATGACATCCAGATGACATTGGCCAGAGTGCAGAATCAGGGAGAATCAGATCCTTACTTTATAGCAAGGCGCTGCAAGATCCAGCTTTTTCAAGGGAGCATTAACTAATTCCTGTAACACATGTATACTCAGGCATGAGCTGTGCTTTGGGATGACTGTAAGCTTCCAGGAATACAAATACCATGGAACTGGAAATGTCCTTCTAAAGATTGGCAGCACAAACCGGGGCAGCTGCTGTTTGTGGTCAGCTGTGCTCTGCCTGGGTCAGTCCCGCAACTGCCCTGCCAGCAATGAGGTCTCTAATCACACTCTGTGGCTCATCCTGGGGGAGCATTTATCTGAGATTGAGTGACAGGAATGAGATGGAGTTTCTCCCTCTGGTAGTCTTATTTCTGTTTTAATCAGTGTTTCTTTCATTGTGGACATAACTGTTCTATGGAAGTGAAAATGTCAGTCTTTAGCATAAATTAGGACCTTTTATGTTAGCCTTCATGGTGATGTAGTCAGGCCCTAATGCCCCAGGCAGTCTCTTTCCTTAGGAAGTCTCTGCACCGTAAGAATGTTTTCTTTCAAAGCAAGCACCAGGATGACTGGAGACAGGATCCCAGGTGCAGTGATAGTGACCAAGGCAGAGTACTAATTACTTAACCTCTCTTAACCAGCTGAGCACCTAGTTTCCCCCAGGCCTTGCCCCAGTCCCATTTCCATAACCCACAGAATAAAGGTGACAGCCTTGACAGGCTAACATTTCACATACAGGCCAGGCAAATTACATTCAGCAAACGCTCCTGCTTGCTGTTTCTCTCAGCAATGGCACTGACACAAACATACAAAGCAGCATGGCATGTACCAACACCACTGATGCACCATCTTCCTCGGTCAGGGGTGAAAGGGGGAGTGGGAGATGCCTGATTAGGCATGCTCTGTAATGGTTTTCTCCTTGAGCCAGCAGACAATACCACAACCTAGACAGCAAAACCTGCACTACGTTTGGAGCTGAAAGTCAAATTATTTCGGCTGATAATGTAAGCTTTTAGCTGATCTCTGCCCATCTGGCTGGAATCACAGCATCCTTCTGCCGTTTCGGGGAAGCTTGTTTTAGGCAAGATGGTGGGTGGGTATCAGCACTGAAACTGCTGCTATGGGCAGTCTCTGAGTTTACATGGTGCAGGATGAATTACTGCTTCGCCCTCACCACTAGCAACAAAAGCTCACGCTGTGACTCCGCGCCGTACGCAGTAGGGAAGAGAAGATCCTATCAGGCCTAGCAAGTTTTATCCCTGTGTATTTCAGTGTTGTAATTCTTGACTTCAGCGAGCCAAGAAACTCTCCCACTCAGCGTGCGGCAGGGTGAGAGCTGGCAGTCGCTCCTCTGCAACATCAGCGCGGCCCATCCCTGCTGCTCCGGCCAGCGGCACCCGTGTAAACCGCAGGTGACAGGGAGGAGGTGGAAGCAGCAGCACGTCCCTTGCTGCTCCCCCAGGTGACAGCACGCATCCCTCCCCGCCTCACGCGCGGCCAGCGCCTGACGCAGTTACAGCACTGAGCCAATGGCGCCCACTGCTCTTGCCAGCTCCAAGGGCTCCTTTCCCCCTCAGCACACAAATATCCACAAGGAAAAGCAGTCTAGACCTGCTGCTACTGCAGGCTTGCTTTTCAAAGAGTCTCGGACTTCTGTATCTCTACTTTTCCTGTCTTCAGAGGGCCTTGAGGCTTGGAAGGGCCTCCCCCATGCCCTCTGCCCACAGCTGGGAGTCCCACCTCAGCCTGAGCTGCCGTGACACAGGGTCCCTGAGGGACACGGCCATCAGGGCACCCAACGGGGCAGCCTAAGGACGGTGCCCAGGCCCAAGCTCTAACCACAAGGCTCATGATGGTAATGAGGCAGGTTGAGAGGGGAATCCCATCTGCAGGCTCGGGTCAGGCTCAGGACCAGTGATGGCAGGGCTGTGGGGACGGGCATGGGAGGAGACTGGGCCCTGCAGGCCTGGCTCAGTGGGGCTCGTGGCTGTGAGGGGCCGGAGACCAGCCCCGCTGGGGTGCTGCCGAGACAGGGGCCGACAGCCCTTGGGGGCCGAGATGGGGTCTTGGGGCATGGGCAAGGGGAGGAGCAGCCCTGGTAGGGACAGTCAGGGGTGGTGGTGGTGCCCTTGGGGCCCCGCCAGCTGGCTAGGACTGCTCCGGGCCTTAAAATGGCAAAGAATGCCTCAGTACACTCATTATGCTTCTTAAGACCTCATGTCATCCAGGTCTAATTAAAGTTCACGTTAGTGGCACGGCAAAACACAGCCAGGTGTGTGTGGGTGACAACATAACCAAAAAAAGGAGAGAAATGACTTGTCCTGGTAGATAGGACCGAATAAATCTGGGGTTCTGGAAAAAAAAAGTAGCAGTAAGAAGTTCTGGCAAAGCTGTCCCTTTATTTACAAGCCCACTTTGGGAAGAAATGCTAGTCACCCATTTTGGACCATGCCTGTGATTTTCAAATGCATCTTTATTGATTGGTTGATTTAGCTCAAGTAGTATGAACTTTATTTTACAAGAACCTGCAGCTAACCAACACAAAAAAAAATTACCATCATTACCTTGTACAATACCAGACTAGCGCAAAAACAGAAGTAAATGCCACAATCCAGTTAAAAGAACCGTAAAATAACTAAATTAAACCATAAACTCTACATGTAACAAACAGCTGAGATTAGTCCCACACATGTCACTTATCAACCCAGCAGCGGGAGGGGAGGTCTGAACACAAAACCAAGCACCCCAGATGCCAACTCTTTCTCATGTCAATGTGCCTAAGCATGGGCTCATCTGAGACAACACACAAAAACGTGCTTGGCAGCACGTGCGTGAGCAAGTGGGACAGTGGCAGAGAGATGCATGCCATCTGCCTGCATCTTGTCTTTTACTCTAGAAAGCCTTCTGGGTCTGTTCTCTGCTTCGGAACATTCAGAGCTTCCTAAAACAAGAGACTGATGCGGATTTGCACCCAAAGGATGTGAAAAATGCCCGGTAATTGGAGGAGTGTGGGCCAAAAAGAGAGGACTGAGCACTGTAGGCAGAAATTGAAGTTACCTCAGTTAGCAGTATGTACAACTCACCCAAACGCATCTATTTCAGATGAACACATGATGGAACAGCAAACATGAAGTTCAGGATGAAAAAACCATTTCATCCTTTGTTCCCCCAGTTTCTGTCTGCCCATTACAACTGCTCTGTCTACACCACTTGCAGTCCCTCCCTTCTCTCCCATTCTTCTGCTACTTCCCATACCTCACGGGCAGTGACCCTCCTGCCCCACTACACCGCCTTCCCTGACCTTCACACAGTTCTTCCAGTGGCTCCCGCTTCACACTCCCAGACTGTTCTTCTGCCTCGCGTACCTCTGTGGAACAACAGTCAGAGAAGGCTGAAACATGATTTCCTGTCTTCCACAGAGGAGCACTCATCTTGCTTTCTCATTCCTGAGGAACGCAGAGAACTGGGATCTAACTTCATGTAAACAGAGCAAACACCTTCCAACCTACATTGGAATCTGCATGTCTTCATCCTTCTTGTCTTTTCCTCCCTCTTGGTCCCTCTCTTAAATGTAGGAATGTTTCAGGTCCAGTTCTCCCATTTTTAGATAAAACCCCAGAATTTTCCTGAAAGTCAGGCCAAACTCCATCTCTTCATCAGAGTTACAGCAGCTATGGAAAAATCTGCTGTTTCTGCCACTGGGAAGAAGCTCCTCTGGCATGACAGCGTAAGGCTTGCACAGGACAGCATCTATCTGGCACCTTCCTAAGAACAACACTGGCTTAAAGTAAAATAATTTTTTAAAAAGCCTAGAGAGAATCTATTCCCCTTCCTCTTTGGGTCTAAAAGCACCTCTCTTGTGGCGAAGAGGGGCACTGTTGTCTGATCACAAAAAGCCAGCAAAACACATGTGGGAGCGACTGATTTCTTCCGCTTGTGCATGTGGTACAAGGGCTGTACAGGGATGGGACACAGAAGGAAAGGCTAAACCCACAGGACTTCTGCCATCTTCAAATCTGCAGAGGACTGGTACAGGGTCAACACTGACAGGTTATTTTCTGTGTTCACCAATAACAAGACCATTAGTAGTTAGTTGCCTTAATGCACAGCAGGGGAGAATAAAGTTAGGTAGCAAGAAAAGCTCTCTCACTTGTAGGAGCTAGGAACGGAACAGACGATCTCAGCAGCCTCCAGGAATGGCCTCAGTGAAGTTCACCAAGAACAAATTTGATGAGCAGCCATGGTGGACATGTTTGGTATACTCAGTCCTGCCTCAGAGCTGAAGTGGGCTAGCCATTCTCTTGAGGTCCCTTCTAGCCCTGTGCTTACAAGTTTACTGGTTGACTTCAATGAAAAGAACGAAAGGGTCATCTCTAATTTTTCTGTCCAGCACTTGCGATTAAAGCAACAAAGGGAAAAAAAATAAATCCCTCCTTCTCTTCCCCAACCTCTCACAGCTGAGGAGTTCCCAGCTCTCAGTGTAAGCCCTTCTAATACTGATGGAAATAATGGAAAACACAATACTCTTGGAACACTTCACAGGTAGCAGTTGGAGTGAGGACTGTCAGCCCAGGACAGCCTTGTGTGACAGCCAGAGTGAAGTATTTCACAGGTCACTGAATGTTCACGGGAGTGCAGCCCACGCCATGGGCAAGGCTTGACAAGGTCAGTGTGCAATCCATGGCATGCCTTCAGCCAGTGAAAGGGTGACACAAAAATGGCCATCCTGCCCAGTCGCTCTCCTGGAGCTCTACCACACTGGCTTGTCTAGCAGCCTCCAGTACCGGCTAACTACCTCCAGCTGTGGCAAGAGAAGAACTATGAACAGTGGAGTCTCCCCATCCTTCAACGCAGAACCCCTCATTAGCCTTTCAGTTCACCCTCTTATACACTGTTCCCCTACCCTCCCTCCCCTCAATTTAAAAAATAATTGTTATAATTAATGCATGGAAGGTGATGGCATTGTGCATGTGGTTCACTTCCAGCTCTCTTCCCCTCTTCTCAGGCATCCTTCCTCCTCTCCAACATTCCCCCCCCCCCCAAAGTCCATCTCGCCTGCATGCCTGAGGGGCTGGTGCTCACTTGCCATAGACACTCTCATCGCTGTAGGCCACATAGAGAAAATAGTCCTCCTCGTGGTTATCCTGCAAGGGGAGAAAGGGAGAAAGTAACAAACCAAAGCCCTGTAAGTCACTACACCTGAAAAAGCCTAACCAAGACATCACTGTAACAACAAGTGGGCATAACCTCTCTTTCACCATTTTTCCTCCGTTGCATCGAAGGCTTTGTTACCTCATACCGAAGAGAGAGTGTAGCAACTCCCTCTCCCTGGCCACACCTTTCCTTCTAAATTCAGGCATGTCCCATTTCTGGACACAGTGAACTTACTTGAAGAGTCTCAGCCAGAGTGCGCTGCAAACGTGCAACAGGAACAGCTCTGACTGTTTCAGGCTGTGCAGCAGAATCTCAGCACTGGTATGGCCTTTAGGTTGAGAGGAGAGACTTGGAAGGCTTTAGTAAGTCAAAAATCACCTCTAGATAATTCAGTATTTGGTAAGTGTGCTTATATTTGTTGTTTTTCAGAACTTTTTGACAAGTGACTCTATTTCTAGTCTTGTTTTACATACAGGCAGTAAAACTCAGATGCTAAGCAATTACACTGACACAGAAAGTCTGCAGAATGGTAGGAACAGAGTCCTGACCTCAGCTTTGAACAGTTAGATATACCTTCCTCCTACATGTCCAGATTTGGAAAACTCCCTCTGTGTGTTAATCTTATATTATCTTCATCAGTCCACATACAAATTGTCCAGTTATTTTCAAAAAGTGACAGGTCAGACAAGGCTCACAGCACCATACTGGAGCTCTCCTATTAAAACACACTAGCACAAGCAGAAGGAGAAATCAATCCAGGCTGCAAACCTATATAATTGAGGAACATTCCTCTGATGTGCATAGAATACGCCTTTAAGGTTGATCAAATAACACTGCTCAGTAGAAATGCTGCACAGCAATGTTCAGTGTCCTACAAGGTCCTCACATATACAGTACAAGCCATGAAAAAGTAACTCTGAACAAAGACTAAGTGTTCCTTGACAATGTATTTATAGACAGTTGGTTGCCCAGTGATACCGTGTTCTTTTACTCGCTAAAAGGACATATCTTTTGTATAAACAGGAAAGCTAGTGCCATGTTCCACCTCCTCCCACCTGACACAGTCTTTCCCCTGAAATACAAAGTGGTTTATTTCAATACTTTGTTAAAGTAGTAGGACCAACATATCACTGCTGGGGCAACTATTTAGCATCTGATAGGACAACCCTCTCAACTAGCAAACAATCTGTTAAAATTACGGGGCTCCTTGGGCTCCTCTTTGTAACTGCAGGACGGAACTTCCCGAAGCAGATGGGATACAGCCCAGGCCACGCCAGGGGTTCGTGTTCAGGCATCTGTGACCAAGCTGCACTCACTGCCAGCTGAGTAGTGCTCAGCTGGCCTTCAGTGAGGATATGCATTCTTCCAGACATTCCAACAAAAAAGGAGAGAGATGGGCCAGGCTTACCTCATACAGCTGGCCCATTGTAGCACTGGTGGGAGGGATGGTATTATTGACAAAGAAGAAGAGGGCATCTTCTGGCCTCAGGTGGATCCGTTTTCGGATTAAGAAGTAGAATTGGCCAACTGGAGAGGAACAGAGGAGAATGCCTTAGATGCAGAAAGAACGTTTTGGTTTGGGTGTTTTTGTTGTTTGTTTGTTTTTGTTTGTTTGTTTGTTTTTCCTTTACCCTAACCATGGTTGTTTTCTTTTGGTGCTGGAAGTCACATGCTGTATGTAAAAAGTAGGGAAAAATGAACAACACAGGAAAGAAAGCAGTAACTTCACGACTGTGACCATATGAGCAGCCAATCCACTCAGAGCTGGCAGTTTCTCGGGTACATGCCTCAGGCCATGCACCATCTAAATCCACACTCCACCTACGATAGTATGAAATGCTCTACTGCAGGGATTGGTGGGAAGACCTCTAACTAGCTTAACCTTTAAATCCTATAAATCAAAGACACCTTAGAGAATTTAGCTTCTGTGTAAATGGTCATACCATTCCTGAAGAGAAGTTCCTGAAAACAGATTCCTTACTATTTGCTTGAGCTGTGTTGCACAAGAAAGCATTCCACAATCCATTACATACGGCAAGAAAAAGAAATGCTGTTCCTTTAACTCATTCACATTCTCAAATGAAAACAAATGTAATCACACATAAAATGGCCATGACCATTCGGAAAAGGAACTTTGTAGCCATGACTCCAACCACAGAGGTGGAAAACCATAGGACTATTTCAAGAACTTGTCTCTTCCTGCAGTAAGGATGCAGCCTTTGGCAACTCTGCAGCTAGGTCATCACTGACAATTATGCTACTGCCTATGATACACAATTCAGTCATTTTCATCATGGCTAGAAGTCAGCTGTGACACATGCATGTTAACGAAGTCAGTGGGATACCTCTGAAGATCTGAGAGAACTCTGCATGTTGTAATCCAGGCTGTAAGGTACATAAATATAAGAACAGCCAGGTAAATTGGTATAATGATAAGAAGTTGAGCCTGCCTGGATATTTTCTTTGTGCTGATCATAGAGTAAAAGGCACTTCTGAGACGTTCTCACTGACAATCAGGAAGAAAGAAGGTAGACACCTTTACCTGTGAGGTCAGAAGGCACAAGATACTTCCTTTTGTCTAGGTCAGGTACTCTGGCTTTTGGTGCTTTTTCCACAATTACCTGCAGAGAGAGAGTGAGAGAAAGCAAGAAACAACCCATGAGTATCATAAAATGAAACGGACCAAAAATCATCAGTGGAAAAGGATATCACCCTTTGAGAAAGATAGTGTCACCAGGCCTTAAGAAATTTACTTAATCTATAACAAATACACAACATTGAAGAACAGATAAGTGAGAAGAGACTTAAAATCACTAGCAATAGCTGTGCTGGGAGCCCAGGACTGCAGCAGTAAGCACAATGAGTAAAAAATGGAGACTGGAACAGACATAAAAATAAACCATAATGGCCGAGAAAAAAAAATCAGGTCACCTTGATGGTCCCAATGCAGGTTAATTCTATATGAAGGAACTGCCAGGAGGCTAGTACATGAACACAAGAAGTATCACAAGTATGTTGAACTGTTTTTCAGGTTACAGTTCCAAACTGCCTGGCACAAAATCAGCCCTACTCCCAGTAGTCCCACATCCTAAATTCTACATTCACCAATACCAAGTGCTCTAGACTGAAGCAAAGAATTAGAGAGAAACTACAGCGCATTAAGGAGTGGGGATTTTTTTTTTTAATCTCCAGTCCTTCAGTAGTTATCTTATACTCTGAAATTCATATCCTTTAAGGTTATTTTACCTACTTCATATAGATATGGACATTTTATTATTCATATAAATACCTAATAATTAAAAAAACCCCAAAACAAAACAAAACTACCATCTGGGCAACTGAACCCACAGAGGCCTTTGACACAAAATACTAACCCTCATTATATTCTAATGTCATGACATAGAAAAATACAAAGCTCAGCAGCTTTAAGATCAAACAGACCAAGAGATCTTCTGCTACTGAAAAATTTTTGTTACCAGAGATAAGCAAAATGTTTACTTCAGAAGCAGGAAATACTCCAAAATGACCTGATTTCCTTCTGTGAAAAGCCTTGGAAACCGTTGGAACTACTGGGCTTGTGCAGAAAAAAATTGCAGGCAGTTGTGTTTTTTTTTTTGTTTGTTTGTTTCTGTTTTTTTTTTTTTTTTTTTTTTTTTTTGTTGGTTTTTGGAGGGGGAGTGTTTATTTTTTTTGGTGATACGTATTTTTGCAACGAGGCAGGGAAGGAATGGGGGTGCTCTGCTAATCTATCAACTGTAGTCAGTTTGCTCCATAACACAGGCATCTCTTCTGAAGCACTAAACCCTTCACACGCACAAATAAACCTACCAAAAAAATCCAAAGGGCAGAGACAGATTATCTGTCTGTCTGTTGCTGCTGGGTGGTGACTGTGGGACTGTCAATAGTATAATCTCAGCAAAACGCCGAGATGTATCAGGGCACTGCAGTGTAGGCAGCCAAGCGGACGTCATCTTCAAGGATCCTGCTGCCGGGAGGGCAGAGACAGAAGTGATGTAAAGAACAGTTGTCTGCTGCATTCACTTGCTCCATATGCGGCTCTGACACCAGGCTACCCCCCACACCTGGGCCTCGCCATTCATCGTTTTCATTTATTCTTAACTACAGCACACCTTGTTACCCTGGTCCTGACGTTCTCCATAAAGATCTGCTGATGCCTCCCTAGCTTGACCTCTTTTACCTCCCGCCAGAGCGGGTCTGGTCCCAGGCTCCCCACACGGCTCCTCCAGATACATCCGTCAGGATCTGCTGTACAATCTGCCACGTTAATCCTCAGCTTCCAGCTTGTCGCACTCCTGACCTAGAGCCCTCTGCGGTCCTTCCCATAAACCACAGAAAAGCACGCACTCCGCCACTGACTCTCCGTGGGCTCAACCTGCTATGCCAGGGGTCCCCAAAACAGCTAGGGCAAATACTGACTTCCAAAAACTTTTGCAAGTCCAGTTGAGGGCCGCTCCCAAGATGAAAAATGGGGTTACCCTGCGGGGAAAACATGTGGTATAACTGCTCCCCCTTGTCCTTAAGATTTATGGGGGAGTCTAAGTTCTTTTGCATGCAGTATCCCTGGGCAGTAAATCTAGGGCAGATCTCTCCGGTTGGGATGGAAAGAAAGAACATTGGTAAAATGTTTATTAAAAAGGAACAACAACAACAAACAAAAATCACAATTAATTTGATTTGTCACTACTTTTTTTCCAGTTATTGTTAGTAATTTTAAAGCTAGAAGTTTTCCACAGGCACTTCAAAGGGACCTAGGGATGAGGAAGCAAAGTTTAGCTAGAAGATGACCTTGTTTTCCAAGTGACGTTTTTTCCACAGGATGATTAAACAGGAGGGCAGAAAGACTGAGAAGTATCATTTTTCTCTCATGCAAAGGAACAGAGCAGAGCAAGACTATATTGAAAAGGCAGGCTAAAAGAAAGTAAAATAAAAATAAAAGGGAAAATATCAGATGACGCAGATGCAGACCTTGTTTTCTATGAAGAGTACCAGGTTAACCCACTCATTGTTCTCCTCCATTTTCACAGAGCTCGTGGTAAGCTCCTTCCCCACCCCCCAGACCCACGCACGCAGGCTGCCAGAAAGCTCAGCTGCGTTCTCGCTGCCGAGTTACTGCGGATCCCAGAAAGAAGGGGGGCACTGCACCCCGCACCCCCCCCCCCCCCCAGCACACACCTTCCGACGTAATAAACAGCCAGAGCTTTGCGCTAAAGAGAAAAGCGGCCTGGAGTTTTAATCAAATCACCGAGACCTTCTTCACTCATCTCTTTTGCCTTGAAAAGCAAAGCAAGAAGCGGACGGCGGCCCACAAAGAGCGCCAAGGCGGCGGGGCGCGGAGGCCTGAGGGGGCCCGCGGCCATCCCCCCCCGCACCCCCCCCCCCCCGCACTCACAGGGACTCTGTCGGGGTATTTCTTCCTGATTTTCTCCCCTTCTTTTTTCCTGTACTCGAACGGGTGGTCTTCCTTGTACTGGAACTTCATGGTGCTGGGCTGTCGCCTGCCCTGCCTGCCCGACGGCCGCCTCCTTCGAGAGCCGCCCCCCCCCCTCCTCCTCCTCCTCCTCCCTCCCCCGCAAGCGCAGCGCGACCCCGAGCCCCGCCGCGGGAGCGCCCCAGCCGCTGACGGCAAATTGGACGCTGTGACGTCACGGGGAGGGAGGCACACCCCCTTCCCCCCCCCCGCCGTCACGGTGCCGCCGGGGCGGGGCTGGGGCCCACCGCCGCCCGTCGGGGCGGGCAGGCCCGGGCGCCTCGCGTATCGGGGAGAGGGGCCTGAAGGGGCGTGCCACCCTCTGCCCGTGCACCGATTTATTGCGCGGCAATGATAAAAGAAATATTTTATTTTTATTTTTTTAAATAAAGGCGCAAAATATACGGCTGAACAACGCCGCAAACACCCACCCCCCCCCCCCCGCAGCCCTCCCACTCCCCCCTCCAGCGTGACTCAGGTGTTGTAATACAGCATGAGGAGGCCCACGGGCCACCCGGGACTGCGGGTACGGCCGCGCTGCTCCTCCCTCTCTCCCGAGAGGCGCAGCGGCGTGGGGCGACGCTCCACGCGTGGCAGCGGGGGTCCGGGGGGGTTTGCGTTGGTGTGAGGTTTGACTGCCTCCGCTTGGCTAAAGCGGGGTAAGGAGCCTCGTCTCTTCCTCAAGTGGCTGCGAGATGTCAGACCAAAAAAATGGCAGTTTTCGTGACCACCCGTGTCGCTGTTGGATCTGGATTATTGCCCTGTTTATAACATCTCAGTTAAACAACAAGGGGCAGAAAGTGTGTCGTGTAATGTGCCAGACCAGCTGCACGTTACAAACAGCAGACAGTTAAAGCGAACTGTCTGCAAACAAGCCAGAACAGCCAGCCAATTTTAGCCCAATTAGCTGATACATACTTGGAATATCTTTGGGTTTTTTTTCTTGGAGTAGTTGGGTTCGCAATTATTTACTGATCAGCAAAATAGGTATTAATGAATGGATCGGCATGCTCAAATGAACTGCTGCTACCCTGGGGACAATAAATGGGAGTGTATAAAATAATTCTTTCATTGCATGCCTCATCCAGAGAAGCAGAACTTTTCCAGGGAGGTACTAGCTGTAGTAGTAGGGACTGAGTGGGACAGCAGACTGCCTCAGATGCGTAAGGTGACTCTCCAAGGCCACACCAGTGGCAGAGGTGAGAGGTCCCATGTTTCCCATATCTGTTTCGACCCTGTGCCAGTGTGTTGACTCAGAATAAACAAGGTTAGGAAAAGATGTGGTGTTGTTTTGCTGTGACGCTGCTCCTACAGCATGGTTAGAGCAGAAAAAAATTCAGACTATAGCAAAGAGTCAGTCTGAAGAAATTGAAGAGCAAGCTGTATGCTCCTTAATGATAAAAACAGGATCAGGAGATCATAAAGCCCTGGTCTTTTTCTAGAAGTACTCATATAAATCCTGTAGGCTGCCCCAAAAAACTCATAGGACTGATGGCTTTATCCCTGTCTATTGAGGTGCACACTTTAGTTGCCTGCAGGGCGGGACTCACACCAACACCAGGAGTGGGAAGGCCTATTTTAGATCCTCACAGTGGATCCAGGGTGTTATCTTGTGCCTTCTGCTTTGTGGAGAGCTGTTTCATGTACTGGTCACCTCCCACCTTTCACTCAATAGGACACCACTTCTTGATCTCAGAGATCTTTTGGTAATGCTCCCTCTCCAATCCCTGGTGCATCGTGATCTCTCATCTTGAACATAACTGGGAGAGGTATGAAGGAAATACATTTGCTTACTTGCAGATATGCTCAGATGGTGGCAGCTCCCAGATAATGTTGCCTGGCGCAGGAGTGTCAATGAACATGGGATGGAAAACCCACCTACACTTTGAACGTGGCCATGTACATCTGAGCCTGTCACTCTAAATCACCTTTGTGGTCAATGGCGGTAAATAGGCATGTTGGGGTGGGATTTTTCTCGCCTGAATCATGACATCTACTTCTGGATGGCCAAAGTGTGCCCCCAAGAACTCTGTTGGGTGCTTTAGTCTCTAAGCTTATACTACTCAGTATGGTGTAATGTGACCTCCTGCACAGCATGGTGGTCAGCTCCAACAGGTGCATGCCCAAATCTCCTAAGGATAGAGCAGCCCACAGTGGGAATGGCACAGAGCCATGTGCCCCAGCCTTCAGTAGTTCATGTGCATAAGGTTTGTACAGGAAGCATCATCAAGCTTGTTTCTGTCGGTCCTAGGACATGTCAACATTTCCCCATGGCTGCAGGGAGTGTCAGAGGATCTCAGAAGGGTGAATCAGAAGGAAGACATTGTTTTTGTGCAGTACCATAGTGAATAGCCTAGACCGAAGGAATCCCAGGGTTTAGACCTGGGGAAAATTGTGGTTTCATGACATCGCACCTTTCTGTAATATGCAGGTTTTGCCTCCTTGCTTCCTAACTGCCTGCAGCACAGCAGTTGCTAAAGAGTACTGAAGGTCTGTAGTGATGTAGATTTCTCTTCCTCAAGGACAAGAGAGGAAACATTCTCCCCTGTTTCACCCAGGCTACCAACACATTCTGGTAATTTTAACAGTCTGATCTCAAACTCCTGTTTTCCTGTAAATTGCTGTTTCTGTCTCCAGGACTATACACAAGGCAGCTGAGCTAGCACCTAGTTCCCCTCCCCCAACAGATCCCACGTGAGGAACACAAATCTCCTTACTGAACTCTTCCTGTCCTGATGATGCAGCCCTGGATGTGCAGCCACAAGCCTTGCTCCTCCCAGTTCCCCACTTCCTCCCCATCAGGCACTGAATTCCCAGCCCTCTACCTCCAGCTCAATAATAACAATAATGTCACTGGCACAACAGCAGGCAGGAAGATGATACATGCCGAAGCAGTGACAAACAGCTAGTCATCTGACTTATTAAAATGTCAGTGCATGGGCATGTGACAAATCCCACATTCTGGGTCTGTATGGTAGAGGGAACTGGAAATGGGGTTGGCTAGTTTTCCTATCCCGGACTGCCAGCAGAAAGCGGTCCTCCATGGAGTGTCAAAACAATATACTCTTTCTTAACCTAGAGTGTCAAAACAGCTCTGAGCATGTAGTGAATTGCTGTGTCTGCAGTTCACATAGGCAGATGTTCACTCTAAAAGGGATTCCCCAAGCATCGCCAGTGCTGTAGCCATAGAAGCAGGAGACGAAAATATTTGCACAGAATCTGGCAGCAAGGTTTGCAGCCATGCTGTAGCACACAGTGCTCCAAGGGAACTGCTAGGAGCTCTGCAGTGGACTACTGTGAAATGAAGCTAGGTAGGTAACTGGCTAAATTCTCTGAATTAAGGATAAAAATATCCATTATTTTCCCTGTGTTTCTTGGAGATGTAATCTCGGTGGATGTCTCTTGGCAACCCCCTGGAGATACTGTCCAGCTACCTGTAACTTCTGGACTCTCTTGGCTATTTGTTTCATTAGTACCTCCCCTTGGGTACTTATGCCATTTGTGCCTCCATAGGCTGACTTTTTTTTCTAATATTTAGTGTGGATTTAGCATATCAAAGCCTCTCTTGTCAGATGACTTCTACTTTGTGGTCTGAATGGTGAATACACTGCAGAGGGCGTACCTGAAGTCACTTGTGATTCTGCTCTGTTTGATGTCCATCCATGGCACAGTCCCTGCCTGGCGTCTCTCCTGCACCACTCATGACTGGTCACCAGTTTCACTTGACGATGGATCTACAGCAGCCTCAAAGCCAGAACAGGCACATTGGCCCTGGGTGAGTGCGCGGGGTTAGTCACTCCCAGCAAACAACGGCTAATTGTGTAGATGTTTTCCTTTCCTCTAGGAAATGACTCTGCATTGTCCATGCTGAATTGCAGTCTCAGTGCTCTGTTTGCTACAGGTTCTTATTTTTTAGAAAAAAGCTACTCATTCCTCCCAAATGGACTGCATGGCCCAGCCTCAGCTCAAATTGCTTAAATGCATACAAATTATGTTATGAGGAGATTAAAGAAAATACCTTGTTGTGTGGTGAAAAGCAGCAGTAAAGGGCAAACCCCCAGATTTGAGTTACACAAATCTGAGATCTCTTTGTTCCAACCAAGGGTTCAGAGTGGCACCTTGGGGATGGGTGTCGTTGTTACTTCCAGTCCTGTGAAAACAAAGGAGCAATACAACAGTGGGGCCAACAGGGTGTTTCTGCAGACTAGTCTTTAAGTATCGCATGTTCTGGGGGATTCCAGGGGTGGAGTGGACAACTCCTTCACAGCGCCTGGTGTCGGTGTACTCTTGTTCCCCTCGCGTGGCTCCAGCCCAAACCACTGGTAGCCAGTGGAGACTGGTTGCTTTTTCTCCTTCCGTACCACTTGTCCCATGCTTGCTTGAATCCCATTCTTTTCCTAGTGTTTGGTCAAGGGTTGAGTGAACAAGTGAGCTGAAACCAAGGCCAGGGTCAGTGACTTAGTTATGATGTAGTTATCCTCCGTACTTCGCGCATCATTTTCCCCATCTGCAGATGGAATACTAATGCTTTTCTGACGTGTTGGCAGCATGACAACATGGGTAAAGTCTGTAAAGTGCATAGGGATCTTTGGATGCAGATACTTAATTATACACAACGAAAAAAAATTGATTTTGATGGTATTCTTTCCCGTGTTGTCCATGATATTGGAATGCTTTGCAGAAAATGGGTCGTCCAGTGCAGCCATCTTGACACCAGTGGCTGTACACAGCAGCTGAACAAATGCTAAAATTATTTAATGATTAACAGAAAACTTTTATTTATTTTCCAATGTATGTTATTCTGTAGTTCTGAGCAATTCATGTTCCTGTTGCTCTTAAGCATGGGGAAAACAGTTGCTACTTGAATATTTGTTTAAATGTTGCATGAAAGTATTAGTTCTTTATGTTTAATAGTATTTAATGTTTAATTTTCAATCTGAAAGCATAAAATATTTCAGAGTGATTATTTGGCCAATATAATACAACACACAAAGCATATTCAATGTCCAGACTTAACAGTGAGATGAAACCACCACTAACAGAGTTAAAAACCCCCAGCTGAGTAACAGCAAATCGCAGTACCAAATAAC